TATAGTAAAAAAATATATATTGATTTCTTATATTTACGCGAACTATGGCATAAAGTGCACTCAACTAAATGTGCAATGAAATATTGAGTACTTATATCGTAATAAGATGATAATATGTATTTAACATACACAAATATAAAAGAAAAGTTAAAAGGCAAACATTTAGCGTTACATTTAACTTCCTTTTTAATTTTCTCATGTCATGTATAAAAATGAAAACGGCATAGTCAGCCACGCGCCATCGGGGCTATCAAACATTAGCCGCCGTGTCCCGAAGGCGGTCACTGACTGAAAGCTGTAATTAAAGTAATTATTTATTATTAGTCGGCTCTCGTCCGCTTTTTCGCTCGAGGAAAAACTTAAGTTCCGATCCCAGTCGCAATTAGGTAACAGCCTATAACTACGTGCGTATTGATTAACTTTTTCTCGAAAGTGCCTATTTACAGCTGTCAATTTTTTTTATAAAATATGGTGAAAAACGAGCATACAATCCACATAATGGTAAGCGGACGCTGTGACTTATAGACATCTACATTAATCTTCAATTAAGAATCGAATTGCAGTCACCCCTGAGGTCTAAGCTTCAAAGCATCGTTTCCGGTAAAAACGGTCTCCATTCTCTACACTCACCGCACAAAACACAGCAGCATAAAACAGCTATTTTACGCTGCTATTCTGTGAGATCATAGTCCTTCACCAGTCAAGCCAACCCATTCGTGCTACAACCATAATATATCTGCAGCGTGGCTCTACCACGTCAATGCTACCATACCATACCACCATAATTTTGAGTAATGCCTTGTGGATTTTGTCTATTCTTATGGTCATGTGACGATATGGGGTGAAGATATATCGCAGAAACGCATATAATTTCTTGGTCGAAATTTGTATCCTTAATTTGATTAACCACCGTAACTTTACTCATTTCAAATTTTCCATGATATATTTAACAGTATTTTGGCATAAATTTCCACGTTTGCAAAGCGAACCGGCGACATCAAACGCTTGCATCTTATACGCTACTCCCCCACACTAACAGTCTGACAAATATTTGAAGCTTAAAATATTACTGGCGCTTAAATTATACAGTGAAAAGCATTGAGATGTTAGATTATCTTAAATAACCAATATTTGCTAAAAGTTTCATTTTCTTTGCGTTCGTAGACATACTTTATACTACATGCAAACCGACCTTAAGTAATCCGTGATCAACCACATACCTCAGACCTTTACGTAAGGGCAAGTTAATGTTCCTTTTTTATAGGATAGGGTGACAAATGAGCACACAGTCCATCTGATGGTAGGTGGTTGTTGTGGCCCATAGACATCTACATCTATCCTCAATTACGAATAAAAATGCAGCTGCGTTGTCACCGGTGAGTACTAAGATGGAATGCCTCGTTTCCAGTAAAAAGGGTCGCCGGTTCTCTACACTTCTGTGAGAGCATGGTCCTTCCCCGGTCCAGCCGACCCATTCGTGCTACAACTGTACTACTAATATAACTGCAGCATGCCTCTGACACGTATAAAATACATACTCGTACAACTAAAACCATAAACATGATTTCATTCACACTCGAATATTACGAATCGAATATGAATTAATATTAATTGAATTGAATTATTAGTCATCCTCTCAGAAATTATTAGCTGTAGGACATAACTTTGACTTAAACTTTATATAATAGTACCCGGATGACCGAGCTTTGCTCGTTTTTTTTTTTTTTTTTTTTTTTGAATTATATTTATAAATTACATACTGATGAAACTTAAATAATATTTTTGATCTTATTGAGAGAATAGAAAAACACTGAACTGATTATTTGAATAAAAAATCATGAGTGCAATTAGTTTTATTAAAATGTTCGTAATTTTAAAAAATACTAAAAAAAGGGCTTTAAATAATAGTATTTCCTCACAAAAGAAGGGAACTTGAAAAAAAAAAGGAAAAAAGCTGGACCAGAGACAGGACGCGAACCACGAAACTCCCATATCACGCCCGACCGACATCCCACCTGAGCTATTACGATCGTTAGTGATCTGTCAAAATTTACCTTCTTAATGAAAATGTTCTTTTGTCCCAAAACACGGACAAAAGGACATTTTCTAAAAATAAATCGTAGCTAGATCGATTTATTGCCCCCGAAACTCCCTGTACACTACGTTTTATGAAAATCGTTGGAGCCGTTTCCGAGATTCCGGATATATATATATATACAAAGGTATAGGATATAACTAATTACAACACTCGAAAAATTATTTTCATAAAACACATCGTTTCCTATAGAACAATAATAACTTCTCTGACAAAAGTCACAGTTTCCTCTCACGTATTAATTTATGTGCTGTTATTGATCATATTTATGTTTCTACTATACAAACATCCTTAAGTGTACATAAAAGATCATTGAATTGAAACAAGAGGAACCGGTAAAAGACTTATCCGATGTAGCTTCCTTAGGGGATATGGAAGAAAAATAAACTGTGTATCCGACACATTATTAATTGTCAAGAACTACACATCAAGCAGCAGTTTGCACTTTAATTGAAAACGACAGCCTGTTTAAAAGCAAATAACATAGACTTTTTGTTATTTGATACTTGTTAATTTTGAGACGAATTTGCGAGAAACAATCTATCTTAGAATATACTCTGTCCTAAGTCTATGCACGAAGCTAATCTGCTTCATTACAAAAAGAGTTTATAATTTGTCTCAGACTTAAACTAGTGTGCTTTAAAAAGGTAGTCCCTTGAAAAATATGCGAACTAAATTAATTAGATTTAAAATTTTCAATAAAATTTAAAAATTTCAAATTTCGCGAAGACGTGATCTTTCGTGGCAAATACTCTTTTTAAACGATAATTTAAATCCGAGACTATCAATAAAATTTTAATCAATTAACGTTTTGTATTAAGATGAAATAAGACGTTGACCCGCCATTCTGACTACCATGAACAACTCCTGCTATAAACATTGCGGTAGCAAAAAGTAGTATTGGCAACAGCATTGACAATACTTCTTTAAAAAATAAACATAATAAAATAAAACCAAAGAAGTAATATAATGACAAATAACATATACAAAAAAATTCATGATGTACTAATAAAAGGTAGATCCTCTGCACCCCCGATAAATTCATGTTTATTTATCATTTTCTACATATTTATACAGACCAAACAGATGAGAATGTTATATAAATTCCCCATAATAATAATAATGTCATCTTGAGTCGAAATTATGGTTTTTCGGTTTGTTTATGTGTAATACTGCCAGCCGTGCCGAATATCCACTGATATATGTAGAGTTTGTAGAGTCTGCTAAATGGTCAGATAAACGTTACTGTGCAGATTAACTTTATATGATTGGTTTTGGCCTTGTCAAGTTTTATAGTTGACAGTGTTAGATATTTTAAATTTTAAAACAATAATTTTTTTTTAATAAAATTTATAAGAAATCTCGCCTTAGTACATAAATTTTAAATCGCTCTTCTAAAACTTTAAATTTAAAACGTTTAGAAATTTTATTCGATTCGCTTACTTTTAACCTAAAATTATTTAAAAATTAATTAACAAATCCAACATTTTAAAACAAACTTGAAAGTAATCATCTTACAAACATTCATTCGTAACTTAAAAAACTCGCTGTGAAACGGAAAGCGCCTTCGGAGACTTTTCGACGGAACTTCGTAAACGGGATATCGAAGAAAAACAATCAGAGTGTCCGACACAATTTGAAAGCGATCAGTAATATGTACTCACAATTAGAAATCATTTATCGAGCACATACGTAGGGACGTACAGGCACGCACTCGGCGCCAAGGTCGGAGAGCTTCCGGTCGGTGTGAGGCAAGTTCCGGAGTTGGGAAACATCGCCCGGCTAATTGTTCATATTGCTTCACTCCAGCGTTTTATTGCCGTTTCCAAGGATTCGATTTGTCTTTGAAAACGGGTCCGAGCTCGTCTTGAAATAATTCAGTTGTTTAAGAAATAGCACTTGGGACATTTTTTGTAATGAGCTTGTTATACAGAACTTTATACAAGATGTTTGTTATATACAAATTCAAACAAAAAGGGTAAAAAAAACCGACTTTAACTAAAACCTTTATTTTGTTTGTTATATTTTGATCAAAATATAACAAACAAAAAGGGGTATTATAAAAAAAATTATGAAACCGACTTTAAATAATAATTTACTTTATTTACACGAACACTACACATTGAATAAATCTACTTTTACGGATTCTTATATTTTTACTTTCGTCTTTTCGAATGCTGTTACCCATACATACGGTACTGATGTGTTTGACGTGCCAATTTAATACTTTACCCGGTTTATCTTTAGCTTTTAATCATATATTTTAATCCGATCAACGCAAAATCGCTTACTTTATCTCTAAGATTGCAATGGTCATGCTTTTCGGCGCTGTAAAATCCGTAAAAATGGTTATGTTCAACCTGCTATCAATATTATCACATAAGTCTAACGCAAGATATATGTAGTTACATAGTTTACAACAAGTTTGGTCACGGGTACAAATATGGAATTTTAACATGTCCTACGCAGTTGAATATAATGTTATATTATTTAAAAAGTGACCGTCACGGTCTAAATGGATTAGAAAAGCGTAATCACAGTAAAAAATTCTCTTTTTTTATAGTATAGGGTGACAAACGAGCACACGGTCCACCTGATGGTAAGTGGTTGCTGTGGCCCATAGCGTTGTCACTCGTGAGGCCTAAGATGGAATGCCTCGTTTCCAGTAAAAAGGGTCTCCAGTTCTCTACACTCATCATACAAAATACAGCAGCATTACGCTACTATTTCACGCTGGTATTCTGTGAGAGCGTGGTCCCTCCCCGGTTGAGCCGACCCATTCGTGCTACAACTATATACTTCTAATATGACTGCAGTATGGCTCTACCACGTGTAATTCTCGTGAACATTTTAGTGGATATTTATAATAAATGTAGAGGTTAATAAACTACCCCCTATCTGCCAGATCCTCGACAATGGAGCGAGGCGGCGGTGGCAGCGTGGCTACGATGGGCGGCTCGCGAGTTTTCACTGGAGGGCGTCGCGTTGCAGCAGTTCGCGCGCGCGCAAGGCAAAGATATCTGCGCCATGGGCCGCGACGAGTTCGTAGCAAGAGCGCCCGCCTTTATGGGCGACATACTGTGGGAGCATCTCGAAATTTTGCAGAAAGGTAAGGAAAGAACAATTCTTCTGTAATTTCAGATGTTGGTAAGAGTTCATCACGATGTTCGTATATGTGTGCGGTTTCACGTGTCCTCAAAATATGTTCAATTTCTCATACATGCAGATTGCATTTTATTTGGGAGTTTCTAAAGATCATAAATATTTCAATTTTTAATTACTTAGAATTGTCGACATCGAGGATGAAGCTTTCCTTTGATTTTTACATAGAATACTATAATACATACATAATAGAACGGGGGAGTGGGCGGAGCCCGTGTAGCCACTAAAATGCCACAAGATGTCAATTCACACGTATAAATGTCAACACGAAATGTGTTTTAACGTTACAATCGTTTCCAAATTAGCCATGGAAATTATTTCAAAATGCCAAATTGCACGCTATTTACAATTAAATATGTATGAAAATCCGTCTGTCAACACAGCGAATCGGGTGTGTAGTAGTGATTAGCTGATAATACGATAATTAATAAGGTAATTGCTTGTATGTGTGCTCCAGGCGACGCTGAACCTCGTACAAAATAAGGTTGACAGCCATTCTATTGTGTATTATAGTATTATATGGATTTTTAGATACAAATGATATGAGACTTCATAGTTCCAGAGCTACCATGATCTTAACAATAATAAAAGAAATGTTAATGTTAGAGTAAAACGCGTATGTACAGCCTCCATAACAAATCACTAGAAAGATAAAACGTTTACTTTATGTCTGTAAATTTTAAAGTCTCTGTGAATAAACAAGCAATCTAGTGGAAAAATACATTTTCGGTATATGTTTCGTTAACTGGTTATATTTCCTTTGATCTATTAATTTATTGTATTACGATTTATCGACGACTCCGTGGCACAGTGGCTTAGCAATGAGGGGCTGCGCTGTTCGAATCCCGCACGGAGCAAGTATTTGTATGGCCTACAAATAGTTTGTTCCTGGTCTGGATGTTTGTCCTTGTGCAATTTATGTTTGTAAACTGCCCCCACGACACAAGAGAAAATCTTAGTGTAGGGGTAACGTTTAAAAAAAAGTGTATTAATATAGAAACTCTTTGCAGATGTGGAAAAAGAGCGGTCCCTGCTGGCAAATGTGCCACCGAACATGTACGAGAGCAACGTCTGCCTCCCGGAACTGTCCGACTACATACCGCCGCCCGCACACCACTACAACAATAATAATACCGGTAAATGAATACAAATAAACAATGCTTATAGCTCATCAGAGCGATTTCGATTGCATTTCACTTTATGAGCGGTAGCTAATACAGTCATGCCTATCCGTGGTCAATTCAAAACAGTCGCGGGGAACAGTTAGTATATTATATATTTGTCTCTTTAGGTTGGTAATGACGCTTTGGAAAAATAAAACATCGCAACGGTGTCTAATTACTAATTAATACCCAATAATAAATACTTAATTTATATTTATGTAAAACTGCTCCTCATAAAACAGTCGATTAGTATTAAAATGATATCGTAAAATTGTGTGATTTAAAGCCATCATATTGAAATAGTTTTTAAAAATTACATACTAAGTGTTCGCTTACAAAAATATCTCCCGTTTAATTTTCCTCTGTCGCATCTTACATCATCCACAGGGTGAGATGGGGGTGTGGATTCTCTTACACTACCAATACAGAGCAATTATTGTTATTATTTAGTACTTAATAACTATACGAATTATATATGCGTATATTGCATTATATTAACAGGTCAACTTCAGAAGGAGTGTAAGTTCCGAACTACACGCATTTACTCTTCACAGAATTAACATTATTTATTATATAGAAACACCTTACAATTACTGTTAATCAAGAAAAAAAGAGCCGTGGTAGCTCGGATGGTTAACGCTCGCTGTAAATATAACAGAACGCGAGTAACTCGGGTTCGATCCCCGCCGGCACCAATGAAATTGTTAATTGCAATTTTAAGTGCTGATTTACCACGTGCTCGGCGGTGAAGGAAAACATCGTGAGGAAACCTGCATGTCTGAGGAATAAGAAAAAAAATATTTCGAAGACATATGAAGTTCGCGAACACGCATTGTGGCAGCGCGGCGGACACTTCCTTGCCCTAAAACCCTCTCAAAAATGAGGGGAGGCTTGTGCCCAGCAGTGGGACGTATATAGGCTGTAACGTTTTTTTTAACTTTAAGAAAAAAAATACGAAAAATATTTAACATAGTTGTTTACAATACGCAGTTTGATTACAATAGAATTAATCAACGTTGGATTTCAATACTTACTGCTAATAATAATACTACGTCAAAGCTAGCCCCTTATATAATAAGAGAAACTTTTAAAGGCTTAGCCGTTAAGAAGAGATGTTAACTTATAACCAACCGATCTTAACATAATCACGATTGCATAATCTGTGAACAGTCGCTATCTACTCATAAAGATAAGCGAGGCGGTACCTTATCTGTGAAGCGGTAGAGCCAGTCTCATTAAACTACTATTCCCGATAACCTAACAATTACGTTCTAGTTACGAGCCTCACAATGATATGGGTGCTATAAAAATAAAGTTGGGTGTTGTCGCCCATGACATTTGAGCCTCATATAGAATTCGACGCATGTATCACTTAAAATCAAATTAAGTTTTCTCTGTTTTCTAATAAATGATAGAGACATGGGCCACCGGGATCTTATTCATCGTCTGACAAAACTTCTGCATTAAATTTAATCGCTGGAAATACTTATGGCATCAAAAGAAGGAATCGATAATTTTTAAAAGCTTTGTAAAATAAGGAAGTTTTAAAGAGTCGTGCCTTTTTACATTTGAATAAACGTTTAAACTCGAATTTAAAATTTAATAGTTGAACGTAAAATTTTACGTCATTAACGTAGATGCATTATACAGATAATAATATAATTAACATAATCGTAGAATATAAAGAGATTAGACTTGAATTCGTCTCATTCTTTTAGCGTAAATTTTTAATATCTCTTTTTTTACACAATGTAATATTTTAGTACTAAAGATATATTATACCACAAGATATAGAAACGAAAAATAAAGAGGGTTTTTCTCTTTATTTGCGTTTGCAAAGAAAAAAACACTGTGTCAAAGACGTTAAAATGCATTATTTTAATGATACATTAGTATTTTAAGAATTGAAAACTTACACAACCTTTTTTAATATTAATTTAAGTAATTATAACAATAATTTGAAGAAAAGCCGACATTAATCCCACTTAAAATTTTCACTCAATATTTAAACAAAATACAAAATTTTTATCAACGTATGGTCAGATATTTTGTAACATCATTTGCTCAAATTTCCTTAATAAAGATAACTTTAAAGAGAAATGTGTATCATATTACATATTGCTATCTCAATAAATATTACTCGGGAAAAATACAACTGTTATTATATGCGCATTATTTTTACACATAATATTATTAAATCTAATCAGTGAATGTAGTGGTGAATCCAAGCATTGGTTTCTTCTTCCTTCGCAGAAAATATTACCTAATTTTTTTTAAATATACAAATAACCGAAATCATGAAGTATGCGTCGTATGAACGACTTCATGATTTGTATAAGCTGTGGTGCAACTGGAAGTAGAGAATAATGAATCAAATTTTACAATCGGAGGATGGCTGCGCAGTATCACGTATAAAAGCTCATTTCCATTAGGTGTAAAGCGTGTTTATTGCGTTGTAAATCATAGCGCACGGTGTTTTGACTGCGGTCCGAACGTTGCTACTGAAATAATAAATAACCTAAAGAGACAAGGTGCCTCTTCCATGTTGTTAGCACGGGTGGTCCCGTGGACATCTCTTCAACTAATTTACACTTCCAATTTCTGTTCCGCGTCAATCATTCTGATATATATGAAAATAAATTACTTTACAATATATTAATGGCATTTTTAACATACCCGCAAATATATACATATGTATAGTATTGTTGTTAGGGCGCGAATAAACGTTGTCTCTAACACTCCTCTTTGACTAAATAAACTTTTTGTTGTAACATCTTTATATCAAAATATTATTATGGCTTTTTTATTAAAAGCCATATTAATATTTACTTTTTATTAAGAGTACAAACCGAATTCAAGAGGTAACAAACAACTAGATTGTGGTCTCAATCGTATCGGTCAATATCGACGCAGAAAGTACTAACAGTATCTTGAAGTCTTGAAATGATGTGCTTAAGTTAATCTTATTGATTTTAACATACCAAGCAGATTTCCAACGAAACTGACACAACCTAAGCTGGTAAATTGGTCACTTTTCGAAATATGTTGTCGTCTATGGACAATTTTACCATTACCATTACGGCTTAAAATGTCCACATGATGGTCATGAATATAGGCCTCCCCATAGATTGGCTCATAGGAGAGATTTTGCCAGGATATTGGTCACCAATACACATTTGCGGCCCCACCAGTGCCAGACGCCCCAAGTTTCTTTTTTTTTTATAGTATAGGGTAACAAACGAGCACACACTCCATCTGATGGTAAGTGGTTGCTGTGGCCCATAAACATCTACATCTATCCTCGATTACAAATCAAAATGCAGATGCGTTGTCACCCGTGAGGACTAAAATGGAATGACTCGTTTCCAGTAAAAAGGGTCTCCGGTTCTCTACACTCACCATAAGAAACACAGTAACATTAAGCTACTACTTTACGCTAGTGTTCTGTGAGAGCATAATTGCAGCATGGCTATATCTCGTATAAAATCATTTGGCGGAAAGTAGGGCGAACGGCGCATTAACACACCAATTCTTCTCTTTCTCCGCAACTCCAACTCTGCAGTGGTTAAGCCTACTAAGATTGGCCACCATTACCATAAGATTGGCACGGCAGGAAACCGTTTTGTGTGTTGTCAGGTTCTGCCCTGTCATTGGTTGGCTCCGTCCCTGGTTTTTCTAAGCAAGCAGATAAAACCTGCGTTAGGCGTTCAGTTTCACATTTGTCCGGTTTTTTGACATAGATCCATTTATATTCCAATAAAACAATATCTTCAATCAGTTTTTAAAGGTAACTGGAATCGCTAAGTGGCAGTTTGGCCGCAGGCACATAAGTTTTCCACTCGGCTGCCTGTGACTGGCGCAACTGTAGCGACCTTGACGCCATTTTTCCGCTCTCTTTCAGAGCATCCGAGGTTCGCTATCGGAGTCTTGTAACCGTGCCACAATTTCGACCGTGTCATCTACGCCATTTTTAAACTACTTTAGGTACATGTCGCATACATAAAGTAACACGGGGATTATGTAAAGGACATGATTTTATTGCCAAAGTATTAGTTTTATTATTCCAACTGTATTTGCAATTGATACGGGAATAGTATTTAAAAAGTCGATATTTGAAATAATAGTTCACAAAATTTCATAAAAGCTCCGAGTTTGTAAAGATTTCTTGTGTAAGAGATGTAATGATTCCTTAAATTGTATAACTTGTAATTATTGAATTCGATAGTTAAAAAGGGCTACTAGTTCGGTATTTTTTTCAGACAGTTCATTAAGTTGCTAATGTCTGGTAAATATGCAAAAAGAAGCAGTAAATAATACAAGTTAGCAAATACATTGAATGTGAACCCCTACCAACAACGTCCCTCGCTTTCGACCGGACTGCGTAGAAGCGTGCCATTCAGCAGTCGGTCTTCAGGCTTAGCTACGCTGTGCTCGTTTTTTAAAAAATATTATCACGTCTTCTTAAATCTTGTTTTGTTTTAGCAGACACTATCACTTCACTAATTTATCACTTTGGTGCTCTGCGATTTTATCCGCTACAAAAAATTTCCCTTGAAAAAAACCGATAAGAAAATACCAAAGTTGTGTCTTCAAAAAGCCGCGAGTGACAAGTGTTTCGTGTGCGAACAAATATGGGAGACCTGGATTCAGGTTAAAATATGTTTCTGCATCCGAGCTCACGCTCCAGGGACTCCACTGAGCTGGACCCTTTAATTGTCTGGAGAGGTAAGTGATCAAAAGCTTCTCGTGCTGGATGCAAACAGTTTTATGCCAAATTATAAAACCATAATTCTCCATGCTTACTGAAGCACACAATCGTTTATATTACACCTAATTATTGAGCGTGTATTGCATTATATTCACAGTTTTTGTTTAGTGTTTGTAAAATAATAGGTACTTCGTAAATACTTGTTCTCGGCAACATTTACGAATGGGTCATAGCCGGTTAATAATTGATTTAATCAATTTTTATT